CTCACAAAGGCTAGGGCGCACAATGTGTGGCATGTGTGTGAATGAGGGCAACAGACAGACAGATTGAGATTGCTCAGGACCTGCCTGGTGCAGGCTTCTCCAGAGGGCAGGTGTGCTTGTGGAACAGGTAGAGAGAAGGGTTTGCAGAAGCCAAAAAGACCCAAGTTTTACTCATGCTCAATCCCCAACCCAGCCTCTAGGAAGACAGGACAAATGCCAGGGGGACAAGAGGCCCCAGGCTCTGCCTACCATCTTCCGCTGCCTGGTCCTGCCCCTCAGGAGGGATTCTCCGGAAGGGGCACGGCCAGGCCCCCAAGTCTCCTTTGGAAAACCTCTCATGTCCATCTCTGCTCCCCACCCATCCTTCGACCCCTCCCCTGCACACTCTGACCCCTACCACTTGCATGCTGTGCTCCCCAGCCCTTTTCTTCTCAACTCCGGCCTTACCAGCCTTTTGTCTGTTAGTCAGACTATTCAAACTCAACCCATCCTTGGACTTTTGCCCTAGCTGTTCCCTCTGCATGAAATGTTCTTTCCCCATCTTCTTCCCCATTATCCAGGATTCAGCCCAAAAATCATCTCTTCCCAAAGACCTTTTAAGGGCTACCTAATCTAATGAGCTTCCTAATCCCTTACATACCACTCTGTTCTTAAAGCATCACAACCTGTTATCATCTTTGTTTATCATCTGTTGCTCCCTGCCTTGGTTTGCAGACATTTCCTGATCCAGGCCTGGCTTCCCGTGGACTCCACTATTCACCCGGGCTGCTTCTGCAGACCCACAGGTTCCCAGCCTTTGCACGTTGTCCTTTCTACCTGGAGACCTGCTCTTGATTCACCTCGCCTCCCATTTCACCCGCTCTTCTGGGTTCGTCAGATACAGAAATATTCCCTGACCCCCTAGATCAAGTTAATTCCTTTTTCTCTAAGTCAGCTCGTCAGAGTTCCTGGCACCCTGTAATTCAGGTGCAGCCATCACGCAGGGAGGGCAGAGGCTGAGTCTGCCTTGTTCATCCTCGTCCCGCAAGCCTACGGCAAGTCCTGGTGCACGGCAGGTGCAAGGGCAAATGAAAGTCTGCTGCGCTGACTGCACTGGAAGAACTTAGCTACTGCTGTTGGCGGGCTGTCACATGGAGAGTTTCCAGGGAGACAGCTCCCACCCTGTATTTGCTGAACTAAGTTGAGGGCTGGGGCCAGAGAGAGCCCCAAGTGACCAGAGACCACCGTTGCTGGCTGTAAGTGAGCTCCTCAGTCTCTTGCTGGGCTGACAGAAGGAGTAAGAATGTTCCGGGGACAGGAATACAGGGGCTTGCAGGCCCGGGGCAGTGAGCGGGGAGCTGATGGGGAAACTACAAATCATCCGGCCTGGATTGCGTGGGATGGAGGGGGAGGTGAGAAATGAGGCCAAACCACAAAGGGATGGGGAAGCCTCGCTAAGGCAGTGAACTTGATCCTAAAGGCCATGGGAAATCATTACAGTGTCTGGAGATGGGAAATGGTCAGATCTAAATCGAAACAGAAAAATCACATCGGCTACAGGAGGTGTCTAGGGGTGGAGAGCTCCATCCTCAATCTAAATCCTTGAGTTCTTTCTTGAGTCAAGCCACACTGTACTTCCAGCTCTTATTCTTAATGAATTCCTAAATGGGCACAAGGTGCAAGGGCTTCAGCAGAGATCTCCCACCTTAACCCCCATGGAGGGTTGAATGGTGGTGTCCAAAAAGATATGTCCATGTCAAAATCACTGGAAAATGTGAATGGGACTTTATTTGGAAAAAGGGTCTTTGAAGGTGTTATTAAATTAAGGATCTTGAGATGAGATCATCCTGGATTACCTAAGTGAGCCTGAAATCCAGTGGTAAAGTGTTCTGAGAAGAGGCAGAGAAGACAGAGACAGAAGAGGAGGGACACAACTTGGAGCGATACTGCCACAAGGAACATCACAGCCGCCGGACACTGGGGGAAGCACAGAGTGGTCCTCTCTTAGAGCTTCCAGAGGCTCCTGCTGACACCTTGATTTTGGACTCTGGACTTCCAGAACCGTGGGAGAATACCTGCCTGTTGTTTGAAGCCGCCCATTTGTGGTACTTCGTTATAGGTGCCCTAGAAAACTAATACAACCCTACACTCGAAATAGGAAGCTTCACTCTCAGGAAGCTTCATCACTAGTGGACCTTTATAAACCAGAAAACTTCCTTTCTGCTTGAAAAGTGTGATTGTGACAGAGGCAAAGAGCCAGACTAGATGACCTTCTTCTTCTGCACTGATTGGCACTCAAAGACACCTTTTCCCACACTGAGAAAGCATATCCCTCAGAGTGAAACAATGGGCAAATCAATGGGGCTGGGTCTTGGGCCAACGTCCAAAGACCCTGAGAATGACACTGGTGTGCTGGCAGGGCTCTGCAGGGGCTAGTGGTTTGGCAGGAGAAAGCAGGACAGTGAGTTGCTCGTGGTGGTGGGCACAGATTGGGCAGGAAGATTGTTGTTCAAACAGGAGTCCTAGCCTCAGGTTTCCAAAGGAGTCTTGGTGCTCTGGAACATTCAGCCTGGCCTTTAGGGTAGGCTTACTGAAGCTGACCCTTGATAGAACTCCATTATAAGGTTTCTTAAAGCACCCACTGTGTGCTGGCTTTGTTTTGCACCATATCCATTTAGGTACCTCCTGGGGCACAAAGCCTGCATTTCCAGACAGCGAGAAGCCAGCCTTCCACTGAAAGCATTGGTACTCATCCTTCAGGTCTATGGTGTCTTTTCCCTGGGGAATCCTTACCCATCCCTATAGACAAGATAGGTTCCTCTGTCGGAGGCTTCTCCTTTAGAGGTCTGTCAACAACGTAGTGATACAACGATCGTAGTGAGCATCCATGCAACATCTTTCTTCCTGAGTAGCCGAGTGTACTCCAGTAACTAGCCTGGTCCCTGGCTCACTGTGAGTGTCCGATAAGAAGATGAAGAACTAACCAGGTCAATTCTCAGGCCCACCTGAGTTTTCAGAGAGAGAAAGATTTCATCTGGTAGTTTTAAGCCTTCTGAGAACCTGTATAGTTAGGGGCCCAGGCTTAATCTCAAGTAAATGAAATAGGACCAACGGGAAAACGCTCAGGGTATGAACAAAACAAATGTGGGAGGGAGAGGTATCAACCCTAAACCCAGGGTTGAACAAGGCCAAAATTTCACAAACTTCCCTCCACAGGGATGGATCCTTGTGCCAATAGCATTTGAGAACTCCCCGTCAATAGCCTGTGGGTGGGCTGGAATCTTAAGAGCATCCATAATCTCATCAAAGTACAAAAGCGTACCTGATTCATCACAAATCCTCCCCAAAGTGTCTTCTGCTTATATTGAAACAAAAGAGTGATGTGATAAATTGGGGTTGCGCACTGGTTGCTACCAGCCCCCCTCTGTAAAACAGGGAACTAACAGTGCCCACCTCAGATGGGAGAAAATGCGAAAATGCCTTTGAGAGCTCAGTGCAGTGCCTGGCCACCCTGGCAGTACAAGGCACCATGGGGCTAGCAGTGGCAGAAACCACAGTTGTTAAAATTAAGCCCGGCGTCGCTAACCTGTAGTGTGATGAGTCAGTCACTTCCTTCTGCTAGCCCCGTTTCCCTGCCCAGCAAACACAAGCAAGCCAGCTGCCCCTCGGCTGCACCGGGGCGGCAGCACAAACAGTCTGCCCTGCTGAGACAGGCACCCTCCGCAGACCAGGCAAGGCTATGGTCATCCATTCATTGTTACTGATAATGCATTAGGCTCTCGCCAAGGCTGGGCAGATTTCACAAGATGCAGCCAAGGTCCTCAGCTTTCCTGGAGAAGTTCTCTCAGTGCAGGGTCGTCAGAAGGTCTCTTTGGATCAGGTGAGGAGGTAAGGAAGGAAAGTATCTAGAAAGGAAGGTAACCACTGAGTAGGGGACAGAAGGAGCTGGCTAGTTAAAAAGTCTTGCATCCCGTCAGCCTTCTTGTTCTGAGGCCCACCTCTTGCCTCTTCTCCGAAGTTCCTTAAGGTAGGTCCGTTTCATTATGCTTATCTCTTTCTTTCTACAGAAACCTGCTCTAAGGAAACAGCCTTACAGATTTGTTTACACCAACATATAAATGACTGTTGGGGCTTTATACTTGCCCATTTTTAGAAGGGGAAAATCTTTCATCAAAGATATAAATAGGTGAGTGGGGGAGGTAGAGGACCTTCCCAGTGACTCAGGAAGCACACTACCTCTCCGTCTGAAAACCCAGCCAGTGTTCTACAGCCTCGAGTGGCGGGGTCAGGGGGCGGGGGGCGGGGGGGCAGTGGGAGGGGTCAAACCCTGGTGTTTATTTGGACTGACCAGGCACATTCTAAACCCTCCATCCTCTTCCTGGAAGCAGGAAAGCAGGCAGGAGAACGGTGGGCGGAGGGGAGGCCGAGGGCCGCTAGATAGAGCAGAGGTAGACAAAGTAGGGAGAGATTGCTTCCTGCAAATGCACATCTCAGAGAGGGCCATGCTGCTGGGGAGAGCAGAGGATCAGCTTCTTCAACATGTGACTCTTAATGTAATGGAAAGTAGGGAGTCTGGCCTTCCAGCTCTTTGAGGTACCCTCAGCCTCCTGCCTTGTGCCCTCCCACCCCATGAGATAGCCCAGCTCATGGCTGGCATGTTCGAGAGAGCTCATCTCATGGGCAGATGCTGCTAACCTGTAGCCAACCTGGATACTGCCCAGGACTGCCCCTCTGCCTTGCAGCCTGGGACCAAAGTAAGGCCTGGACCAGATTCTGCTACTGGTGGGCAGTCTGGGCTTGGGTGGAAAATTGAGGTTACCAGACAGGGTCAGAGGGGAGACAGTGAAAAGGACTGGTGTGGTAAGTGCCACTGCGCTCCGCACAGGGCGGCCCCACACCGCAGCCTCTTGGTCCGGGACAGCGCGATGCCAGCGTGTGAAGAGCCTGGCCTTGGGCGGTCCCTATAAAAGGGGGCTCCAAAGTAGAAGAAGAAAAAGAGATGGATCGGAGCCAGTCCTGGAACACAAACACCAGTATATTTTATGTGCACAAACGTGAAAAGACAGAGACCAACAGAGACAGAGCAGGCAATGGGCGCACAAACCAGCTATGTGTCCTTCTGAAGAGCTGCTGCAGTTGAGAGACAGTCCCACCTGCCCCGAAGGCCCTTCTGCAGAGCTGGGACCTGCAGCGCCCCCAGGTCTAGGGCGGCCTCGGGCGGGGTGGCGGGGGAGGTGTTCTCCCTGCCGCAGTCATGGCTCCCTCAGGGCTGGGCCTCTCTGCATCCCCTGCGATGATGTCTGTACAGCCCAGAGCTTCAAAAATACAGGTTCTCATGACCTGGCCCACTCAGCGGCTGCCTCCCCAGGAGACCTATGCAGAGGGCAAGGGACCAGGACAAAAGGACTCATGGGCACTCTCTAGGTATTATTGCTGAGAATAAGCATAGGCCATTGTGACGCCATTAGGACTCACTGGCATCAGAGGGAACAGGGCACAAGGGGCAGGATACCTAGCAGACATGGAAGCGGTCAACCATGCAGGGCAGCACACGGCGATCTGTGTAACTCAGAGATGCTGTGATGTCCAGCGGAGAGGCCCAGGACACCAGCGGTTCATATACAGCAAGCAGAGTCTCTCCGCCAGTACCTCCACTGCTTGGCGGGGCTGGGATTATTCCAAACTTTGAGTCCCTGGGCACTAAGGAATGGGGGGCCCTGAAGATACCCAAAAAAGAGGAGTGGAAGTCTGGGCTACCCCCGGTGAGCTCTGAGCCTGCAGACCCTGTGGTCAAGCTCTGGCTCATCGCCTCCCTTTGTGGGGGACCCTGTGCCCTATGAGGGACAATAGGAGCCATGGGGCACCTGAATGAAGCAGAACCACAATGCTCTGCGCATTGCCAGGGAGGCAGGCTTACTCCAGGGCCTCCCGCACTTGGGAGTCTAGAGGGTCCAGAGAAAAGGTGGTGCCGAGGAATGCCCGTGGGGCAGCATCTGGAGCAGCCAGGTCCAGGGAGCCATCCAAGGGCTTGGTCAGGCTGAGAACTGTGGAGGCCTTATGCTGGGAGGCATCAACAAGCTGACCACCAGATTCCATCGGCGGAAGGGGGCAGCAAAGGTGGGTGGTGTGTTCTAGGGTCCCCTATGAGGGCCTGCAGGGGTGTTGGGGTCCAAGAGACTGAAATGGCATGGAGGTGGGGAAAAGGACCAAGGCAACAATTACCTGGAGGGAACAGGGAAGCCAGACAAGTCTTCCTCTGGAATCCCCCGCAGATGAAAAGCAATCTACCCCCACTGGAAGCCTGAATCCCTAGAAGGCCCAAAGCCTTGGAACTAGGGCTGCGGGAAAATCAAAGGTAGGGCTGGCCCCGGCAGAACGTACCTCGTGCCTGGAGGTGACAGCCTGCCAGGACAGAGGCTGGGACACACCCGTCATCCTGTCCCAAGCAGGGTCGACTGCAGGAAGCAACCCTGCCGAGGACTGAGGAGTCTCTCAGCCTTTCTCCCCACCGGGGACTGCACTCCCGCCCACAGCCCGCCCACCTGCCCTGGGCCAGTGCTGTCTGCACGATCTAGGGGCTGCGACAGAGCAAGGAAGAGGAGATTCTCTCCACAGGTGGCATTATCACTTTTTAATGTTCCATAAAAAAGGAAGGGCTCATTTCTACCTAAGAGTTCTAGTGTGGTCAAGAAGAGACCATGTACCATGGGATCGGCTCTGTGCTGATGGACCCCTCCCCTTGGCGAGTGGGGGCAGAGCCGGAAGTGGGCTGGAGTAATGGTTTCACCTGTCCACTGCCAGCAATGGACGCGTCCTGGGGGAAGGCAGGGCAACCCAGATGACAATGTCTGTGAGAGTGGCAGGGTAATACTGCTTCAGGGGCAAGCTCAAAGTGTCAGCCTTGCTGGGAAGGGTGAGGAAGGGGCGGCCCTGAGGAGGTTTTGCCGCAGGGCTGGGGCTATGGCAGAACCAGAAATGACCCCTTCCCACCAAGGATGGGAGGGTCGCCCTCACTCACTCTCCGTGGGTCTCCAACACTGGATGCCCTCCCCCATCCCCTAGAATGCTGGACTGCCCCTGAATGGACTGAAACGAAACCAGTGAGGTGTGCCTTTACCTGCCTCCAGGCGGCACCTCCCGTCACCCGCCACACACACTGATTTGTCTCTAAGTCCCCACCACGGACCTGTGGGGCCCATCTTGGCCTGACTGTGCGTGTGGGTGCCCTTCATTTTTCAGCTGGACCACTGCAGGGAGGGGCATGGATGGAGGAGAGCACCAGGGGCACTGCCACAGCCCAGGCTGGGGTAACAGCAGAGGGAGGCTGCAGAGGGCGCGCGGCCTGTCTCGGGGTTCTACCTCCAGCAGCTGCTGTGTGGGCTGCGGAGTCAGAGTTGGGGATTGGTAGATGACTGACATGGGTAAAGGGCTAAAAGTGATAAAGGCCTTGAAAATGAGAGAGAAAACGGGGAAACGCCACCGAACACACAGGGACTGAAACCTCCGAAAGCCCAAGGTTGGTGGGAATCCAGCACCAGGGGGCCCCCAGAAGGCCAAGAAAGCAGCGTGGGGCCCTGGGGGAGGGGAGAGGAGCCGAGGGAAGGCCTCCCAGCCCTTGCAGAACAGCACGGCTGCCCAGTCTCTCCTTAGGCTGCAGCTCAGCAGGCCCCGGGGAGGTATTGGTTGCAAGCAAGCACCTGAATATTGCCTAATGGAACCAGCCAAAGCCCACGTAAGTCAGGTGAGAGAGAGCCAGGTGGCCGAGGCAGCCCCCCAAGCCTCCTCAGACCTTGCCTCCCACCTCCTGCCCATTTCTCAGAGTCTCTTAGCCAGGACAGGGCCTGCTGCTTCCAAAGTCACCCATGTCCTCTAGCCGCTGCAGAGCCTCAGGTCCTCTGCCACCAGCCTCCGAGCTGGGCTGAGGTCCACGGACCATTCCCAAAGTACCTCTGCTGCCTCTACAGCCAGCCCCCAACACCAACTCACAGTGGAGGGAATGGGGGCTGCGTGTGCCCCACAGGGCTGAGGCCAGGATGGGGCAGGGCTTGTGCTGTACAGAAGGGGCAACTCCACCAGCTTGGTACCTTTCCCCACAGGGTGCATGAGACCCCCCCCAAAAGGCTCCCTCTCAGTCAATCTTGACGTGGCCGTTGGCCAGGGCCAGGGGGCCTCCAGGCTCCCCGGGCTCGGCGTCCTTGTCAAAGCGGAGGCGGAGGGTGTTGCGGATGATGAACTGCTCCATGATGAGGGCCCCGCAGAACCAGGGCACTGCGTACTCCAGGGTGATCAGGCCCATGAAGTCAAAGTCGAACTGGGAGTAGTCCCAGGGGCAGGCGTTGAACTGGCGCAGGATGAAGCCGGTGGTGAACTCCCACAGGTAGGTCCAGAGCGTGTAGATGAGGCAGCGCACCAGCAGCGGGCAGCGGCCCCGCAGGCGCAGGTACATGCGCTCCACGATCAGGATGGAGGTGCCATAGATGAAGAGCGCCCACACGCTCGTGACCCCTGGGAACTTCCAGTTAAAGTTCACCACGAAGTCCCAGGCCGCCGTGAACATCACCTCGCAGAAGTAGCCATGGATGGCGTACAGGTACCAGCGGGACAGCGCCGTCAGGGGCTCCGCGGAAGCCATGGCGCCGACTGGGGTCAGCTGCTGGGGACACAAAGGGGACAGGTGAGGGAGGGAGGGCTGAGCCTCTCCTGCTGCCTTCCCACTGTCCAGTTCAAGTCTCTGCTGTGACCGGGGCGGAGTGGATTTCAAACCGGTCTCTACTTTTCGCTTTGGTTACCAACCATAATCTCGACCGTAGTCCATGTTCATTACTTTATTCCATATTCTTTATCTGAGCCAGGGGACGCAAGAAATGAAGAAAACAAACAACCCCCCTGGCTTCCTCTGAGTAACTCCACTCAAATGCTTCTTGGGAGGAGCTGTCTACTGCCCTCCCTATGAAAACTTTTTTCGATGACCTGTGGTCTGTGAAAAAGTCAGCTGTCCTGGCCCATCAATCACCCCCATTTCTAGGCTACTAGCTGGTTTCTCAGCTGGTTTGCTGATGACAGCCATTCTAATGGGTGTAAAGTGGCAGCTCCTTGTGGTCACATTTGTCCTTAACTGCTCCATTAAGCGGGGTTTTGGTGTTTTGTTTTGATGTTGAAAGGAAACCAGTGGGCTGACAGAGGAAAGAGTCTTCCTCTCCACTTCTATTCCCTTCCCCCTCCTCTCCTTTAAACTCAGTCCTCAAAGCCCAGCCCGCAGGCCTCTCTGCTTTCTCCTCACCCTTCACGAGCAGCTGTCTGGAATGCCCATTTGGCCCTCTATCAAAGGCCATCCTCTTTACTGTTTGAGGCATGGGTCCTTTTGATCCCACTAGCCCACGTACTCCTTGAGGGCAGCACATGTTTCTGGGCTTCCGTTCTGCAGCCGCGCAGGGCACGGGCCTCCCCCGAACAGGGATTCTCTAAAGGTCACATGCTGTTCGTGCGGACGGTGGGATGGGGGAGTTCGGGGCTTCAGCGAGAACAGACGTGAATCCCAGCTCTGCCGGCTGCCAGCGGTCACCAGGCTTGACGTCGCTGTCAAGCCCTTCTCCAAGGGGGCAGAAGGGTCAGAGGTGAAGAAGGATCGGCAGCCTGCCTGCCTGTCTAGGAGGCCCAGTCTCATCCTTCAGCTGCAGTGGGCCTAGTCACAAAACGCCCACCCTTGTGCATTGCCCTGTGGTCTAAGCACTCTCGTTCACATTTTGTCACTGGTTCTTACCTAACTAAGATTCAGGTAAAGGGCATGTAGTTTTATTCCAATTGTTTCAGAGAGACAGTTTGGGCTCAGAAAGAAGTCATTTGCCCCATATCCCAGGGCCAGTGACTAGAAGAGCTGAAACTAGAATCCATACCTCTTGACTTCCACTTCAGAACTCATTCCACCACCCACTACTGTCCATCTCCTAGACATGAGGGCCTAATGTCACTCCCCTGCTCAAAAACATTCAATGGTTCCCCATTTCCTAGGGAAACCCTGCAGCATCCTTGGCCTGGCATTCAAGGCTCTCTGTGATCTCGCTCCAATCTACTTGTTCAGCCTTATTCTCACAGGCCACCTGTCTTGCCTCCATGCCTTCACATAGCCTTCCCATTGCATTTGCTTGCCTTTCTCTTCTCACCCGCATGAGTGCAAACCCAGCTGAGGGGTTACCTTCCGAACAAATGCTTTTTCATCCTCCCAGACACGAGTCCTCTCTTCCTCCTCTGAATATCCACAACACTCATTCTGTCTCTCTTTGGTACAGATGATTTTGTTTTCTGTTGATAACTCGCAGTCCCCAGCCAGGCATCTTTCATGCGTTCTACACCTGTATATCCCACTCTTTCCTGGACACCGTCACTTAAAAGTCCCATAGGGACTTCCAGCTCCTTTCCTAAATCAAACTCATGATCCTTTCCCCAAAACCTGCTTTCCTCCTATGACCCATCCTGATTGCTGGTACCATGACGCACCAGGTAGCAGCCGGAAGCCCTGGCATCCTTCTAGCTTCCTTTGCCACATCCCCACTCAACATGAGCTCCCTAAGAGTAAGGACCTTGTCTGTGTACACCCCACCCCCGTGCCTAGAAGGGTGCCTGGCACATGGCAAGCATTCCATACAAGAACAAGGACATTTCTTCATCAGCAATTGCTACGTAATAAATCATCCCAAAACTCAGTGGCTTCAATCTACTCTCATTTATTATTATAGCTCACGTTTCCGTGGGTTGGCAGATCTTGGGACTCAAGACTTCCATCCTGAGACCGCAAGTCCTCTGGGGTCTCTGTCCTATGTTTGGCTGGGATGGCTCTGCTCCACTTGCCTCTCATCCTCCTCCTGGGCCTAGGGGTCTGGCCCCAGCATGTTCTTCTCGTGGCAAGGGCAAAAGCAAAAGAGCCAACAAGTGCAATAGCACCAGCACTTTACAAGGTTCTGATTAAGTCACACCCACTAACATCTTATTGGCCGAAGCAAGTAACAGGGCAAAGCACCAAGTCAGCCATCAGCAACTCCTATCTTTTCTACCCCTTAAGTATCTTTGAAATCGATCTTCTCTTCATTCCTCTTTCTCATTGCTACAGCTCCAGTTCAAGCTCTTGTCATTGTTCACCTGGATGACTCCAGTCATCCCTCAGCTTGTCTCCTTGCTTGCCTCCTTTCCAATTCACACTACGAAGGAGTGTGTGCAAACAGCAATCTTTCTAAAATGCAAATCCAATGTTTCTCCCCACTTAAAGCCCATTAGTGGATCTTTAATATCATTAGGCTCAAACCCCTAGGGATGGCTGGCAAAGCCATTCGTGTGGCCCCCCTCTGCCTCAGATCCAGTCCTCTGGATCTCTGCATTGCGGCTTTTGCTACCCAGGGTGCCCTTCCCAACGGCTACCTCTACCCCCTACCCCACCATAGCCCATGAACCCATAATCCTTCAAGATTCAGCTCCTCCTCCAGGAAGACCTTCCTAAGCACCTCCAACTCCAGAGCCGTCCACTACGCTGTCTGTCCCCCTCTGAACCCCGTTCACTTCTGTGACAGCAGTTCACACTCAGCTTTGCCGTAATTCGTCTGAAGGCCAGCACCACAGCCACTCGATGAGTGTCTGTTTAATACAATGTTAAGAGAAAAAAGCAGGATTCGGAACTGAATATTTAATATGACTTTGATTTGGCAAAGGCACACATACATGTAAATATTCACAAAATTAGCCACGATCGTCTCTGGATGGCGACGTAAGTGGTTCTTATTTCCTTCTTTGTACTTTTCTAACAAGTGTGCATAACTTTGATAAAAAAATTTTCTAACAAGTAGGCATAGGTTTTATAAAAATAAATTTTATCTTAAAAAATTGTTACATGAATATGTATTAGTCATCTTTGTGCCTTGTATATAGAAGACCATCAATAAATTTGCCAGGCAGATGAACCTGAGGAAACCTGAAATGCACATACGTTCTTCCCTCCTGAACCATCCCCCACAACAAACCACGACGCACAGGTGTGAACAGGGTGTAGTGGCTTAAATGTAAGCACAGGGCCTCTAGATCCTAGCTGCCCAGGTTTGCATCCTGGCTGAGGCCCGCCACCTGCACCGTCTAGGGCATCTCACCTGGCCTCTCTGTGCCTCAGTTTCCCTACCGGTAAAGTGAAGATAGTAAGAGTAACTAGCTATCCCTGAGGGTTACTGTGAGGAAGGAGCTCATAGCTACATCCCACTACCGATACAGCCAATGAACAAGAAAGGGGGGCTCTCGTTTCTGGCACAGAACCAAGCTTCCCAGTCAGCGTCTCCTATGGCAGTGCCCCCTTCTACCGGAGGCAGGGTCATTTGGCCCCTGCCCTCACTAGCCACCTTTGCCAAGCAGGTCAGGTCTTTACCTCCACCCACAGCACCAACCCGGCAGCCAGAAAACCCTGTGAAAACAGTTACCACACACACAGCCCAAGGAAGAATAAGACCTCAGCCAAGGAGTCGGTTTGAGTTCCCGGCTTCCGCGTGGCTGAGAGGGGTGGGTCTCGGAACCAGCCCTCTGACGACCAGGCTTGAAAAGGAGGGTGAAATGGAAGGGCCGGTGTTCCCGGCACAGCTTCTGACACCCTCACTTTATCCTGAACCCCAGACAGACCACTTTGTCTCCCTCTCCAGCTCAGGCCCCTCAGAACTTGGATCTGTCCACCTGACCTGCTGCACTCGAATCCCCGGCTCCCCGGTCCCACAAGACCCGGGGAAGGGGCTCCGCCCCAGCAGCCCACCACCCAGGTCGGCCCCCACCTTGATGCTGATTTTTCAAACCCTGCTCTTGTTGCCTCTTGGTCTCATCTTTTGGAACAGCCAAGAATGGTTGGTTTCCCAGTCACTAAGGAGTCAGAGGCTCCAGTCACCCCCAGAGACAGCAGGTGACTTGGAAGACCTGAACTCCTAAATCTTATGAGCAGAAGCAAGATTAAAGAGGTGGCTGTCACAGGGAGGGCACGCTGCTGAACAGAAGAGAGGGCAGGGGTGAGGACGGGGTGCCGGCAGCCTGGATTCCGTTTCTGGAATCTTCCACAACCAGAAGAGCGGGAGGGAAGCATACCTAGGCAAGGTCAGACGGTGTCGGAGGCGCTGTGGCAGGAGAGCATGCCTGGTCCATGCAAGACAAGGGGGGGAATGCAGAAGCCGTGGCTGGGGCCAGGAGATGGGCGTGGAGGCAGGGAACAGGGATGTGAGGCAGTACTGTCAGCTGGGATGGCCGCTCACGCTGTGGCGGGACAGGCGCTAAGAGCAGAGGCAGTCTTCGGCTCCGGTGGATTTTCAGAAGCCAGTCCCCAAACCCATGTCTAAGAACCACAGGAGCTGTGCTCACACTTGGAGCTCACCCACCCTCTGCTAGACCCAACAGACACCTATCGCTGCCCTGGACTCGCCCCACCTGAGCCCTTTGCCTGGGACCCTTCCAATACCTCCTTGCTCAGCCCTGGGCTCAGAGCCCTGGGAGAGCCGGCATCAGGAAGGAAGGAAGAACCAGCAGCGCGCGGGATGTTGGCCTCTTTCTCCTGGTGACAAACACACCACCCTGAGGACCATGACCCAGAAATGGGACAGCCCAGGAAAGGAAATTTAGGGTGGAGTAAAGAGGAGGAGAGTGTGGGAAAGAACAAAGGCAGGAGAAACAAGTTTGGAGAGCAGCAGACAGTTTCCCAAGAGGGCCTTGGGGGAAGAACACTCAAGTACAAGTGTTGATTCAACTCCTCAAACTTGTGGACCAAAGGGCCCGGACACACCTAGTTCCTGCAAGGGGCCAGAGCTGAAGGGGGCTTGTCAGGGCAGGGCACCGCCCCTCCAAGGGGACAGGTGATTAGAGGGAAGGGGGCTGGCTTTCAGAGCCCTGGGCCCTAGGAGTATCTTACCTACTGCTCTCAGGGCCTGCTGAGCTATTCCTTGGGGTGTCAAAGAGCAGAGAAAGCAGCTGAGAGGAGTGCAGAGAATGCCATAAAAGTCCAAGGCAGCCTGGAAGCAAACCCAGGTGAGATGATTGTCCTTAGTTTTGCCAAAAACTCCCATCTTGTTCCAGGAAGCTGAGGTGCTACAGTGCAATGACTCCGGGAATTTTTGTCCAGAGGAGCATCCTGCTAGAAAATCAGTCTTCCCCTCCACAGAGCCAGGCTGGACAGGACTTCCTCTTTCTCCCCATTTACTTCCCAAATTTCACTGCCCATCCCTCGGTCCTAAAATCACTACAGTTCTATGCTCTGGGGAGGTGCACAGCCACGAGGGCAAGGCAGTGCGGACACAGCTTGAGTGACTGTGAGCCCAGTCTCCTGGCAGACCCTGTGCTGGAGGTGAGTGGAATCAGGGAGCTGCCCTTGCCTCAGGGAGCAAGACGCAAGGTCTGAAACCATCCTGAGCTTTCCCTGTGGTCATCACGTTGAGAGGGGAGCAAAAAAGAGTTTGCCTCAGGGCCCAGAAGGGAAGCAAGTGGAGAGAACACATGCGGTCACTGGCTGGCGCAGATGCCAGAGTTCCACCCTCTCTTGCTGTGGGCATCCCCTGGGAAAGCCACCCAGGATAGAACTCCCTCCACCTCCCAAGTAACAATAATATTAATAATCAGCCACCCTTCTCAGCATGTATTAACTCAAATAATCTTCCAGCCCACTTTACAGATGGGGAAATTGAGGTAGAGAAAGGCTAAATAAGCAGCCTAAGCTCTTACAGCTATAGAAGGTAGAGGTGGGATTTGAACCCAGCTCCAGAGCCTTCACTTCCAACCAGCACACTGCACTGCTTGAGGTGACTACAGGCTCCTCCGAGGGCACAATATATCCCATTTTCTGAGTTTCTGCTTTTGGAAGGCTGGGATGGTACATGAAGAGACAACAGGAAACAAGGAGGACATGAGCTTGTAGGTAGATCATCAAGGAAGCTCAGAACTGGGTGTCAGAGCCAACAAAGGCTTTCAGCCTATTCTGAGAGACCAAGTTCTGTTCTGAGGCCAAGGTCTGGCAGGATCCACATGAAGGTCTTCCAGGGTCACAAGCTGACCCTCTCAGGACCATGGCAGCTACCCCTCAGGGCCTCAAGGCACGTGCCACTCAAAGATCCCTCACCAGGACACACATTACCTAGAGCCTCCCTGACTGCCAGCCCGCCCCAGCGCTCCTGGGAATCTCCGACGGCCCGGCCCCGCCAGCCGAGGGCAGCGGCCAACGTGCAGGCTGCCAGGAGAAGCCCTGTGCCTGGAGCAACCAATCCACACAGGCCAGTGGGCAGGGGAAGATTTTAAAGGGTCTCACACGCTGAGCAAATCCCAGGTGGGCTTGGAGCACAAAGTCAGCCTTGGCACAGAGGCTCCCCAAGGCTCAAGCAGCAAAGGGCGCCCTGTGGATGGGGCCTGTAGGCTTGGCATCCTGTGTGTGGCCTGCGAGGTCTTCCCAGATCTCACGCGGTGGCCTCCCTGCGGTCGTTCACAGGTCTCAGCTCAACTACCACCCCTCAAGGCCTCTGATCTCCAATCTAAAACAGCCTCCCTGTCACCATCACCCCACTTCATTTTCTTCATAGCACCCTCACATTTTGATGTTTTGCTGCTTGTTCACTGTCTCTCCCAATTAGAATGAAAGCTCCGTGGTGGCAGGGGCTCTCTCTCGTTCACTGCCAGGTAGCCTGTGCCTGGCAGTACAACCTACTAATGCCTATGGAATAAACGGATGAATGGATGGATGGATGGATGGATGGATGAATGGATGAATGGATGGATGGATGAATGGATGAATGGATGGATGGATGGATGGATGGATGGATGGATGGATGAATGGATGGATGGATGAATGGATGGATGGATGGGTCCAAACAGGCACAGGCCCACAAACACTGATGAGGGCAGGTATAAACAGCTAGCCAGCTCCGCCCTTCTCTTCTCCTCTTTCTTGGGGAAATACAGCCTTTTAAAATTTTAGCATTTTAAACTATGTTTTTTTCTGATTACAAATGTAACAAGTGTCCACAGCTGAAATTTAAATAGTACAGAAAGGAATGACTTAGAAAGCACAGTCCCCCTATCATCCCACATGGTAGAGAAAGTCACCATTGATGGTATGTTGTGTATTCATCCAGATTAAATTTAGTTTTAAAAGAAAATCCATGCATCGTAGAAAGAAAAGGCATTCATAATTCCACTAACCTAGGAGCCATTCTCATTTCTATTTTGCAATCTTTTCTCGTGTTCATTTTACAAGTTACCATAATGTACTTATCCTTAACTTGACATTATCACTTATTACATCATAATCATTTTTCCAAGCTGGTATATCACCTATGTGTTCATCTCTATAATGGCTGTGTAATATTCCACAGGTAGAAAACTATAATCTACTTAATGCAGATGGTCAACAAAGGGAGGACAATCGTTTCCCACTTCCTCTGTCACACCGACACCACTAGAAACATCTTTTTTTATGCCTGTAACAAAAGAATTCATCCCTTTTCTTCTCTGGGACTACATGTTAATGAATAATTCCAGAAGCTGGACTGCTGCACAGAAGAACACGACAGTTTCAAGGAGGATGGTGTAGATTGCCCAGGGGCATTCTGTGGTATGTGGGGAAGAGGTCTCCCGACTGAGCCACCGTGTTCCCACTGTGGGCTTTCGTGGCCATCCGCCCACGCCCACGCCACTCCCATGGTCCACGCACACTCACACCACACCAGCTGCAAATCAACCCAAGACCATACTTCCTGAGAGACCCTCCTATCACAAACTGATTTTGCAAGCCTGGGCTCAATGAAAATAGATTCTAGCCCTGAGTTTCAAACTCTCAACCAGCAGCAAAGTCAAGCTCTACCTAAAGCTGAAAAATACCTACTTACTCTCTTCCCTCCCTGCAAAGTCCTCCGTGGAATCTAAGGCTCCCGCTCCCATGGGCCAGCCCAGCTGCTCCCACAAGCTTGTGCGGTCGGGAGGGCACAGCACCTGCTCTCCATGCCCTGCCTTCCAGGGGAGTGCTCTGCCTGCTGGTCCCTGGCCCCACAGACACAACAGCCTTCACGCAACAGGCCTCTGGGGCTGGGAAATGCAGCCAATTGTCACTTTTTAAAGCATCACCCAGGAAAAGCCAGAGGCCTGAGCTGGAAAGAAAGGCCGCTGAGGACCGGCAATACCCTGTAGTTGGGGGCCTCGCACCCTATGTGGAGCTTATCTGGACTGAAGAGGAGACACAGCTAATGGGAAAAAAACAGCAGATCCCTGGTGGCCAGTTTTATGGCAGCTCGAGAGCCACAAATCCCTCCCCTTCCAGTGCCCTGGATGTTTGGCCCAGCGTTGTCATAGAAACTGCTCATGGCATCTGGATGGAGTCGAAGTCCCAGGTGAGGAGCAGTTCCTACTGCACACAAGCAGAGCCCAAGACTCAAAGCACCCATGAGCCTACACAGCAGAAGGAGAATTTGGGAAGATGCCTCCTCCCGTGTGCTCGGTGTCTCCTATCACGCAGACCAGCACTCTGGTTCTGGCCCAGTTCTTAGAGGCCATGTGGCTCTAAGACGGCTCCAGCAAAGGAGATGGGCTGAAACTGCTGGACACTCCCCTCCCATTCCTGCCCTAGGCTTCTCTGGGACTATTTCTTAATGCATCATTCCAGAAGCGGGGGTGGGTCACTTGGCAGAGAAGCGTACGCCAGCTCCACAGGCCCTTGGATGGAAGGCGGGCTCAGCACCGGGGCTTCTGGACCTGGGCCCAGTCTGCTGGGGCAGGGAGGGCTGGTCGTCCCCAGGGCGCCGGTCACATACTCACTTATCACACCCTTGAGTGCGCAGCTCAGAACAGACATCAGGATCACTCTCCAGGAGCGCCCCGGGTTTTCCTTTGTCCTGGTGCCTGTCTGGGCGACGGTGCCATCCTCAGCAGTGTGGGTAACCATTAGTCCCAGGACTCCGCTGGTCTTCAGCTAGTGGGCGGGCGGCTTCCATGTGTCCTGGGAAAAAAAGAGAAGGCATTCTTTAGCTGAAACTGTCCCCAGCTCCGAGCCACCAGGCCAGCCAGAGAAGCAGCCCCAAGGCAAACATCACAAGGCCCCGGCTCCAGGCTCAGCACCAGACACGCATCCTGCCCAGCCACCTGACCCTCTCCTGGAACCTGCCACCTCTTCCAGGCTGCCCTGTTCGCTCAGGTCTGGTTAATCCAGTGATGAGAGCCTGGGATCCACCCAAAGTCACATGTGGGGCCAGGACTTAGGGCTTCTTTCACCATGAGAGAATGTGTGCTCACTTATAATCTGCGAGGGGATGTACTTTTAGAGTCCGGCTCCATTCTCCTTTAGCTTCAAATTACACTCTCACTTTCACCCTGCAGTGGGTGCCTCTGTTCTCAAGGGCGGTCAAGAGCCTCACGGAGGGCAGGCAATGCAGGGCGTTTGTCTTAGCGTTTGGGGAGTTAAGAACAACACAGAAACACAAGCACACCAACCATATGCGCGAAAACCCTTTATCCGCAATCCCACTGCCCTGATATTTATTTCATCCTATTATTTTATCATTATTGTGGTTGAGGCCCTTCCTATTAGCATCAATAACTGACTACAAGCTGATTATGTAAATCTGACTTTATAACGTCCGTTGCCATGTACATACTTTAATAAATCCCCCAAACTTGACCATTTGATAGAAAGTCCCACATTTTTTGTTTTTACATGAAGGTGCTGAAGCTTCCCTGAAAACACTTTGAATACAGCGCCATTTGCACAAGTCCAAGGGCAGGCCCAGCATGGCCCTGTGGAAGGATGCACTGGTCGCTCGGAAGCTGAGAAGAGGATGTGACTGGGGGTGGGAGATGGCAGACAGGGTAGAGCACAGAGGGGTCACCTGGTGCTGACACCCACGGTCACCTTCCTCCTTCCACCGCCCCAGGCTCTCTGAGCAGCGGTGACTCCAGGTTTTGCCCCTTAAGCCGATGACTTGCAAGGCAGCAGCGGGGCTGAGAAGTTAAGGGCTGGCAAGCGTGCTGGCGGGCAGGGGGCGGGGACGGTGCACAGCCCTGAGGCAGAGGGCCCAGAGGGCACGGGGCTCCCACGCTCTGCCTGGCCCGTCCCTCCCCAGCTCCTGCAGAGACAGGAGCCTCCAACCCTGCCCCACCCGTCCGTCCTCCTCCCATCTCCCCACCTGCCCGATGGTGGGCGGGGTCACTGAGGCACATACCTACCACTCGAGAAAGGGTTTTAATGGGGCATGTTCGACACCCCCAGCACCAGGACAACCCTGTGGCCTGTAGAGTTAATCCACCCATGGGCACGAGCACCTCCCTTCCCTCGGCTCTAAACAGACCACATCAATAGCCCAAGTCCCAGGCAAAACAGAGAGAGAAACCAAAGCCCACATCCTGGCAGCACAGCCTGCCGGTCGCTGCAGTCAGCCTCGACAGCCCGTTGCTGGCCGAGGTACCACCCTGGCAGGTGAAGCCGCAGCAGTGAGGACAGCTCCCGAGCCAGCCTCTCGCGGTGCACCTCCTGCTTCCGGGTCTGCAGGCTCTCCCCCAGGGTGCCGGTACAGCAGGGGTCCCAGCCCCTCCGACACTCCCAACCCTCTGGGAGGAGGCCCGGGGCCTTCGGCTCCTCCGCGGACCGCAAGGCCTGAGAAAGAGGTTTTAAGAGTATATGAATGAATGTGTGAGAGCCCCGATAACAACTAACGTGCGGGCAGAACTTAGACCTCTTTAAGTGATACATCCTCTCTCCTGGTTCTCCCAGGACTCTGGCAGGGAGGGCAGGAATTACCACGCCCTCGCTCCCGTTTTAGAAATGAAAACACAGAGTCTCAGGATATTAAGAAATAAGGCCAAATCCACGCATGTGACACAAACCCTGGTCCTCGGGCTCCGGGATCCTCCCTGTCCCCACACAGCATTCCTTCAAACTGCTTCCTATGCAAACATCATTCTTAAGGCATGTGTCTGCACACACATACTTCATTGCATGTAATCAACTCAGTCCGTTCTATAAGTTGCTCATTTGTAAACATGGACAAAGCCGAGTCTGTCCATACAGTTTTTCCATCCATATGCCAGGTGTTGCTAGGAGTTTGAAGGAGCAAAGGCCAGCATGGTTTCAAGCCCTCTCTACCTGCCCCCCTCCACAGCCCATGCCCACTCCTCCAAGACCCTGCTCCCTCCTCATTCCTTTGACGGTGACACCATCTTCCATAGCCCCCCAGGTATTCCATCCGCAATGTTCCCACGGGCCTTTGAACGTCCTTCTGTTGAAACATATTACATGTCTGTTTCCCTCCACATAATGAATTCCTTGAGACCATGGGACTTCTGCTGGATGGATAGACAAGCAAGGAAGAGAAGGGTCCAGCTAAATTCTGGGGTGATTGCACCACCCAGTGATTTTAACCAAACACAGTGATGGCTGCGGGTCTTCTCCAATGTGCAGGCTACTGTCACGGAAGGGCCTTCTCCTCAAAGCACCAGGAACAGTGCTTTGCAGCCATCAGGGCTGTCTCTGCAGACGAGGAAAGGGAGAGTGCAGACTCACTCTCCTTTCTCCCTCCTCCAAGAGCCATCATCTGGAGTGAGAGGTGCAGACAGACGAGGTGGGGGCCTTGGGTCCAGACAAACCAGAAGACATGTCATAGAAGGAAGTCTGGGGCAGGCTCAGAGTGTCCCAGGCATCCCCAGAGACACGGCAGGCTCCCACGGGGGCAAGGGGCCAAGCTCGGGTGCAGGTCAGAGAATAATAATGCCTATTCTGTTACGTCTACAATGCGCTGGCGCTCTCAAAAGGCACATCCAGTTTTCATGCAAGTAGGATTCATTTCCCAAAGAGGTTTAATCGGCAGCTGCTGGCAGGAAATTCCTTCTGCGCCATTCACTCTCCTGCTCTATAACTATTTAGAGTAAGATGGGCTTGCAGGATTGAGTCTCTGCTTCTCTGACTAGAACCTAAACACCAAATCTACCCCACCCCTCTCCTCACCTCCCTGGCCCAGAACCTAAGACTGGACCAGGAAGCACACGAAACACTCCCTCCTCTCTCACTCTCCTCTTCCTTAACCCTCCCCAATCTCCTGCACCCCAGTCTCCCACAAAGGAAAAAGAGGATGCCCCTAAGGGCCACTGGAGAGTCCTCTGGTTACTCAAAGCCCCCTAATGCTTCCCATGTGACCCAGAACAAAGGCTTTTACTTGTCCTGTAGGAAGAAGAGCCCTGAACACAAGTGGATTTGGCAACTTCCCAAACCAAGGAGTGACCACGCTCAGCTGCAAATGCAATTGGAATTCCAAATCCTCCCAGGGGAAAGGCTGTGTCTCATCGGCTCCCCCTGGGGGGGCAAGGCGACCCAGGCCCTGGGGACTTGACTGGCACAGGGAAGGTGGGCAGAGATAGGGGATGAACGCCACTCGACCGTGCCTCTCTACTCGGGGCCTCCTCACTCAGGGCTTGGAATCCGGGTTTTCCTGCCTGCCGAACATCTCGCCACCAGCCTTCTGTCTCCCCTGGAGGCCACTCTCTCCTGTCACCCTCCTCTCCCTTTCTCTTCCCTATCCAGCCCACTCTACTCTACATGCCCCTCTCAATGCCTCCTCTGCACACACCCAGACAGCCCAGCCCCGATCCCATGGGGGGTGGTCTCTGGCCCCATGCCCCCTCCTCTCCCTCCCACCCCACCTCCTGGCACCGGGTAACGGCCGCCTGCTGCCTGCCTGAAAGGCTGGACAGCTGCTGGGCTCTCTAATTAGCTGCCTGGCCGCCGTCCCAGAGCGAGGCATGTGTTACTGTAAAGAACTGCCTCGCCTCCCCTTCATCAATAATCCCCTATGCAGATCCCATCAGGCGGCAGCTGAAGGGCCCGAGAATCCGAGTCACATGAGACCAACAAGGCTCCTCCTGCCAGCGGGAAAGGGACAAACAGTTGTCTCACAGTCTCACCGACAAAGTGACCAGACATCTATTTATCTGGGTCCTCCCTATTATTGCCACATCTGTGCGGTGTCCCATAGGTTACCCCACCACACCACGCTTTTGGAGCAACGGGGACTCCGTCCCTGTGTTCCCTCCCCAGTGGAGGACAAGCCAGGACCGCCCCAACAGCGTGACACCCAGAGCTCGACTTTTCACAGCTTTCTACAGCCAAGTCACCCCAGAGGTTTCTAAACAACCAGGACACCTAGTCCAAGAAGTCCTGTGGAGACTGGTTTGTTTATTCGAGGTATTGTATTCCAGTCATCAACAAATGTTTACCGAGTACCCGCTGAAGGTCAGGCTCTGTCCAGGGTGTGAACAAGACAACGTCCCTGCCCCCTTGGAGCTCACAGGCCGGTGGGCAGGCACACAATAGGTACGCCGGCCAATGCAAACTGTGGTTTCCAATGTTGGGCCACAAGGAAGGGGAAAGACCTGACAGAGGACGGAAAGAGGCTGGACGTTCGAGAGTGAGCTTTACACTTCTGTAAGGAGGTGCCATCTGGGCATAGATCCGAAAGATGGGAGGAGGCCCTGCAAAGAGCTTTGGGGAAAGCACTGCAGCCAGAGGGAACAGTCAGGGAAAGGGCCCCGCAGCAGGAAGAGCGAAGCAGGTTTGAGAAACAGCAAGGCCAGAGGAGCTGGAGGAGGTGTAATTAAGGGGTCAGACACATCCTACCCTTTATTGCAAAAGTCTTCTGGTGGTGCCCGCCATGCCAGCCAGGCCGGGGCAAAGCGCACCCCCCCCCACCCCGTCACCAAGTGAACGTGGCCAGTCAATGAAGATTCCCCCAGCAGGCAGGGGCTGGAAACTGCGGGTCCTAGTCGGCTTTTGTTTGGCACTGTGTTTATTAACAAATGAAGGGAAAGTGAGATTGTAAAACCGATGGCCTGTAATTTCCATCTGCTTCCGATCAAAAGAACTTAAGTAATTTTACCAGGCCCTCTCTGGCCTCGGTGTTTCACTTTAACAGGAAGGTAAATATTTCTTTTTACTCCAGCTAGTTTCTTGGCCTTCCTGTCACTTGCAATCAAGAAAATCCTGCCCTGGCTAGGCATCTCAGTTGGTTGGAGCATCATCCTGGGCACCAAAAGGTTACAGGTTCAATCCCTTTCCCCCTCCCCACTCCCCGGTTGGGGCATACAGGAGGCAGCCGATTGATGTCTCTCTCCTCCCCCACCCCACCCCTCTGAAATCAATAAACATATCTTTGGGTGA